AAGCTGAAACATCTTCGAAGCTATTTCGATTTTGAAACGTTAGCAGGTAAGACCTTAATGAAGCAAAATTTTACAAGGTTTTAAGACTGTAAAGCGCAAACACCACTCCTGTCTAATTATAAATTTGCTATCGTAAGCACACCCATCGAGAATCGAGTCGCACACCAAATACGGTCAAGATTCAAAGACCTAACAAAGAGACGTGATCAAGTACTCATTCGCCTTCAGAGTGGAAAATAAGTAAAGGAAAATCGCTTACTTAATTCCTCCTCTATTGACTCCACATTCTAACATGTCCTAAATGGAAATAATCCTTACACACCACACTATTTCGCATCGGTAAATATAAGACTGCCTCGGCACCAACTGTTTTTTCTTCTATACTAGCAACATCAGGATCAGCTGACACCTCTAAGAAGGCAAAGAAGAACCAGAGCCCCGCAAACTTGATCACTACACTAACGGATGAATATAAATGGATTTACGGAGAACCTGAGGGTGATTTGCAAGCAAAACTAATAAATTTAACCAATTAAACGACGGCAACCATTGGCGACTTCAAGCCAAAACGGGAAATCACAAACAAAAGGCACTTTGGTAGTGATTGTAAATAATGACATCCGAAAGGGAACTTAACAAACATCAAAGGTTCCTCCACGAAATTCAACCATACGAAAAAAGGAGGCTCATAAGTTGAAAAAAATCCCGAAAGGCTCAATAAATACAATGTGCATGCAATACATGTGTACATGTGAACGCACAGGCGTGTGCGCACGAGTGCTGTTGGGTAAAAAAAGTCGAAGGGAAAAGCAACTGTAACACAAAACGGTGACCCATACGTGTCGATGAAAGCAAGTAAAAAATCCAACTTCGAGCAACGACACAGGAAGTTGGAAGAAGCCACAGACACATGCTATGGTTGGGGCGTGCTACGCAATGAGAAAGTAAGCTTTATACGTAAATGCTGTTCTTCACTGCTGACTGAGTAGTGGGGCAGAAGGGACAATGTGAGTGGAACACAGCCTGATAATGAATGCTGATACTAAAACACAAGGAGGATGTGCTATGATAACTTTGCGTGATGTCCTACTCTCTTGTGTCCATCATTGTTACCGTCTTCATTATCGCGGTTATGAATGTCCCCACTAACGTCTATGCGCATGAGTATCAATTCGCCCTCACTAGTAGTTTGTATACGCCATTGAGAAGGATCCAATGGAGTTCCAGTGCTGTCGACAAGGTTCTGAAGCAAATGCTTTTGAGCTGATGTCAATTCATCCCTGGAAAAGAAAAGCATCAATAGCAGTTGAGGTTCAAAATTCCAGCGACAATTGACTATACTCAAGAAAGTTTGACCAACATACCACTTTTGCTGGCGTCGTCTGCGGGTGCGAACAATACGTCTAGCAAGATCAGCATGTTCCAGACGGAGGCGATCGAGCTGATTTGCCAAACTGTCACGAGCTGCCGATTTGACTCGGCGACAACGTTCTGCTGCTTGTCGATTCGTCGCACGGCGACGAGCATCCAGCATTGCAGTTATCTGCGTATTGCCGAGAAGCACGTTTAGTTAATCAATAAGCATCTTGCAAAAACCTTTTCACAGCTAAAGTCTATCCGGATTTTGACCCAAACGTGTGAAAATACACAAAAAAAAATCACAAAAATTGAAGCTAGATTTGCAGGGAAAAGTGGCTTTCACCATTTTAAACAATTTACAATCAGTGTTTTGGAACCATCATATTAAGAGCTGAGAGCTTAAATGTTAACACTCAACTACAGCAAAACATAAAGTAATAATGGGCAGAAAAAAAGAGAACGTTAGTTATCTAAATTGGGTTAAAAGTAAAGTAGTCATAAGACAAACGAAACTACGAGACAATTATGTTGAAGGTTCAATTGCATGTGCATAAAATCGGATACAGTCGATCAGCCAAAAGATTTTCCGGATAAATCCTCCTTAAATAGCCCCAAAAAGGTTAAGTGACAGGATAGTGCAAGTCCTCGAAGGTGTAACATTCATCAATAGTTATACTTGTATCGTGTTCATCAGAGCACCTTTATGGTACAAAAGGAAAAAGGCAAAATGAGGATAAAGGAAAACCTCTGGGACGCGAATAGTTTACCTGATCAAAAGTGAGTCCAGGCTTTGATTTAATCTCGCGAAAGCGCTCATTGGAACTGTAAGCAACTTCCTCATATGAGAAGGGTACAGCGAGACGCTTAAGGATGTTGATATCGCGAATGTTACGATCGCAAAAGGATGATCGCGGAGTACTACCCGAAGTTGACGGGGAGATTACGATTTTTGAGAATCTAATGTCACCCTCATCCTCCCATTGCTCGTAACCGTCCTGATCGCCTTCCTCCCCCTGACTCTCATCTAATTCATCATTCCACTCCTCTTCCTCCTCCCGCCATCTAGGTTTTGGAGACATCTGAGGGTAGAAGCCTGAGTCGGAGATGTGACCCATATCCTCAGAGGAATCAGAACCACGAGAACCAGGAATACAGAGCTGACGCGGTTTGTCGTATCGAGGCCACACAAATAACTCACTGCCTTTCCGATTGCGTTGCTCCTGATTTTCAAATTGAAGAATGCGGTCGTGGTTAGAGCAAAGGTGATGTCGGGGCTGCGGAGTTGGACGAACATTGGAGAGAGATTTGAGAACGCTACTACGATGTGGTGAGGAAGACAAGGGAGAAAAGCCTGATTTTGTAAGTGCAGTAGCATCTGTTAAGGGACCTACGAAAACAGGAACACGGTGACTTGAGAGTGCAGCTCGTGTGATGAATGGCGCTGGTGGACGGTTTCCAGATTCCGTGTAGCACTGCAGCGATCTAACTACAGAACCGTACGGCTATAAAAAATGG